ATGTTTCCACTAGAGACTGATCACACGTAATGTTAAGAATCACATGACACATTTCCTTTTTCTGATCCAATCAGAGCCTTCCAGATCTGACGCGAGGCGTGGTTTTGGTGGTGCTTTGTAAATCCCCTCTTGGTGTCCCTTTTTGATTCGACCGTAAATCGAAACATCCAAATTATAAAACTATGCCCACGTCATCTTAAACTTCAGTTCAAAGCGTTCTAGAGAAGTTGTCGGAGTGGCCAATCCGTAACTTTCCTCTTCAGCCGAAAGAACCTAAAGACAAGCTGGATGAAATCTGTTACATGTTCCACCTGCTGCAACTGTTCCTTTCAGAATAAAAGCTGAGCCATCACGACTTCCTTTTTGGGTCTTGCTAGATGCCAATAAAACTGTCGTGACCTGGAAGTATCTCAAGACTGGTCTGGTCGGCAGCCGCTGCTTTTCTACCGGCTTCAGTGCCAGAGAAGGTCAAGGTGGACCTTGACATTCCTGATCTAACGGGGACTTCCGCAAAGGGTATGTAGACCGGCAGAATGGCGTCTCAATGTGTGTTATAAATCTCCAAACCAAAGCTTAGAGTGAAACATCACCTTCACTCCCATCAGAACTAAATCGTTTCTCCGGATTTGCTGGTTCTGAACATATTCACACATATACCACCATCCTCAGTCTTACTCCACCTTAGTTCATCATACGTTTAGTGTTTAAAGTTAGTCTAGTTTAATTTGTTTAGTAATAAATCTTTAAAATTGTTAAACTTGACTCTCTTTCCTTTGTCTCTGAGTTAATACAAAGTGGTTACATAATCCCTGCAATAAAACGTTCCAATCTTCTGGTTTAAATTATCCAAAGATCCATAAGAATGATTTCATATTTCCTACGGCATCTCACATTTTATGGTTCATTAAATAATATGTAAATTTAATCGTTACACTAACTTCTTTTCCAAATTAGCCATAGTAGCTTTAACAATAAAAAGTATAGTAGAGTTAGGGCTGCACAATATATGTAAATATATCGTTATATCAGCGTGCACAACATGCATATCGCAAAGAACAGATAAATATCGCAATGAATGGTCAGCTCAAATGTTTGCTACATATAATGCATTCTGTCAGACAAACGGAAGCACGATGATTTTTTTTAACAAATCAAATAGAGCTCTTCATCCATTTTGGCCGATTGGGTGGGTTCTCATAGGTTAGATGCCCGCCCCCGAGGCAGATGGCACTTCATTTTGATGGTTAGCAAACACCTGAGTTAGCTTTGTTCTGCTCTTTCTGCTGATTCTGCTTTTCCTGGGATCCACTGATTGCCTTTTCTTGTTCATTTTCTTTCTCCCTTTCCTCACATCTTTTGCTTTTCTTATTTTTAAGATATTTTTTATTTCTTTGTTTTTATTTTTGTTCCCGAGTTAAGTTTTTATTTATCGCAAGTAAAATCGTCATCGCAATAGTAATCATTGTTATCGAATATCTCAGGTTTTCCTAACATCGTGCAACCCTAAGTACAGTACAAAAAATAACCCTAGACAAACAAACTAAACAAATAAATGAATAGCTACAATAAAAAGTTCTGTACTTTTAGCAAACAAAAATCATTTAGACAGGAAGTCATTTTTTTTTCAAAAGAGGTGCTTTAAGGACATGATTTGATGCTTTTTGACACAACACCAATCTCACTTAGCTATTTCTGCTACGTTCAAAATGTTCACTACTACTGGTTTCATCGTGATTTGTGTTGTTAGACTAGACTAGATTATATAATCCTGCTCCTCACAATCATCAATGAAACTCCATACTAGCTGACTTAATGTGGAATAAAACACCTTAAATTAGCCTCAAGCTGAAGCAGGTTGCCTTGAGTGACTTTTGGGTACGAATACACCTACTGCACCAAGAGTCAAATAATTAAAGGTCTTAAATAAAAATGAAGATTAAATGAAGGGATTATGGATTATGTCTCAGGTAATTATCATGGTCCAATGAGCAGCCTGAAAAGCCTTAAACACCACAGGTGTTTGCATCAGTTTAATTTCTCACAAACTATTCTTAGCCAACAAAATGGCTGAGGGATTTGAGACAAAATGAAAGCTGATAAGACAATAAGTCCTTTTGTACTTTAACAAACATATGTACAAAATAAAATTCAACTCGTGATAAACAAGTGGGCAAAGCAGTTATGAATACATGCAAAATTAAACCACACGCTGTAAATAGAAATGCCTCAAACTGTGAAAAACACCAGAGAGAACAGAAAGATGTACTTTCAGATATCGTTTTTAATAATTATAATTAAATAACATGATCAGTGGAGATGCACAAACCTTTAAACCGACTACTTCATCCTTCTGTAGGTGTTTTATTTTGAAAGTTGCCAGATACTTTACATTTTGTGTTTCGCTTCCTGTCTGGCTTGACCTGAACTGCTTAGCTGACGCGTTCTGAATGCGTAGCGTGTAGAACAATAGAATTGAAGCATAAACTTAGCGGAGCGACACAACACTATGCTTCTGGGATGAGTCCAGAGTGCACCGATCAACTACAACGGCGGCTAATTGCTGTGTACTTTCGTGGACTTTTCACAATGCTTACACATCCAGTGGAAAGGCCTGGTAACTCCACAAACATGCACTTTCTGTTGGAGCCAATCCAGACTTTCTTGTTCCAGACCTCATTGTGTCATCTCATAATTCATATTACTTGCATCTGTAAATCTGTATCTGTAAATCTGTACTGTCAAAAGCTAAGAAGCGTAGCTACACCTAATGGGCTTGACACACGGGAGGTGACATCGCCTCTCCTCCATTCATTTTCAATGAGACATACGCGACAAAGCGATAATCGCGGGTCTCTCTCCTACTAAGCGAAACGCGAAAAACGTGCGTGTGAAAGTTTGCACTCGTGCACGTGTCGTGCACGTACGACCCAGCAACGCGATCCCAGAAAGTTGAAACATTTTCAACTTTTCATCGCTGTCGCTCGAGCGAGGACCAATCAACGGAGGTTTCATTCACTGACCAATGAGCGGACAGGATGCTCCGTACATTTCCGAGCAAACATGAAGGAGAAGTTGATTATTATTATGTTTTATAGTAAAATCAGAAGTAAGATTTCACATAACTCTAGCAGCACCTTGTGAAACATCATATCTACCACTTTATTAACTCTGAACCGCTTAAATAACCTTAATTCCCTCCAACCTGACACAGCCAAACAAAACAACGTAAGTTTCGATTTTGCCATGGAACAGAACGCGTAGACGGCTTTGCCTCTGGCCGCTGCCACGGGTCGCCTCCCGTGTGTCAGGTAATAAAAGCGACAGCGACAAATTTCGCTGATCGCGGTCGTTTGTCGCCTCCCGTGTGTCGAGCCCATAACACCCCCTTGCCTGTTTGCAACAATAAGCAACAGGAAGTGGCCGATAAATGACTCTGACACTACTGCTCCTACTCAAGGCCGGATTAACCATACGGGCAACTGGGCAATTGCCCAGGGGTCCACAAACTCTGAAGAGCCCAGGCCCAGGGCAGCAGACCTGCCAACCTGTACGCATTTTGCTCAGCCAGTACGCAATTTGGCATCTATTTACGCTGGTACAACTCACCCCTCTAAACTACGCAAAAAGCTGCGGGTACGTGAGTTGTGTTCTGTGGCAAATATGCACGTGTGGTACTCATGTCTGACAACACAACTCAGTGGCATGGTGAAGAAGTTTAAGCCAATCATCGTAGAAAAGCAGAGAAAAACTATCCTGCCTAACCAATAGCGTAACAGCCCCATCCCCCTCCCTGCTTCATCCTGCCCGCTGCTTCCCTCTCCTTTCGGTTCGGCACCCGCTGCTGTTCTGGTAAGGTAAACTCTGTGTGTGTGTGTGTGTGTGTGTGTGTGCGCGCATGTGTGTGTAAAGCAATGCAGTTGCAAAAGTCTGCAAAAAAACGCCGAACAAGTTGTTTTATTTTAAAACAAGTTCAAATGAGCTTAGGATCAAAATGTTTATGAGCAGATAATAGTGATACTGCATTTTATTTGTTTTTTCCTTGGGGTGCCGGCTTTATGAAAATGGTGTGAATTGTTGTGGAAGGATAACTGGCAGATTTCAAATAGTTTGTGTTGGACTAATAACTTGATTGCCTTGTTGAATTCTGAGGAGACAGGGTCACCATGTCAGCAAGATTTCTGCTTAAAATGAGCTGAGGACCATAATGTTCCTTGATGTGTTGTCTGTGGTCTTCTGTGATAGATATCACTTCAATACATTTCTATTTGGAAATAAGTGTTGTTAAATAAATAAATAATGGTTTGAAAGTGGTTGCTCATTTATTCATTTTGACCCAATGTAATGGGTCAATTTTACCAGATTATATATAAGCTGATGTGTTTTGTTTTTATAGCATCATATGTGAGTGGGTGTCTTTGATAGGGGACATAGTAGTGCATTTGTAGTTCAATGAGCATTTAAATATTTGTAAATCAAAATACACCTGACGACTGTTAGAATTTTAAGTATTGAGTATATTTACTGCATATAACAGTAAAATATTATGTATATGACCATATCATGGTGATCCTTGGGTCGTGATGATGGGGCCCTTGAATATTGTTGCTCAGGGTACAACAAAGTGTTAATCTGGCCCTGCTCCTACTCCTGCCTTAGAAACCAGAACCGTAAAATTCCCTCTCGATTCCCAGGAAGTGGGAATGTGGAAACGCTGTGCGTTATCTTTCTGTTGTTACGTTCCTGTTTCCAAGTAGTCAGAGCAGCTGTAAGAGGTGTTTGATATTGTGGAGTCAACTAAACCTGGCATGGCATCCTGGAGTCCAAATGGGACCTCTTGAGTAAATCTGTCTGTGCAACGTCACTAGGCCAACAGAAATTTGGGCTCCAAAGTTTTTAAAAGGAGATGGACAGAAACCAGCTTTAGTGACTTACTTATAAAACCGTTTCTAATCGTGTTATTTGTTGGAGCTTCTTTCAAACCGTCGCGGAAGAATACTCACAGCTGTGCAGCGAAGAGTCGACTCATCTTTGCCACATGTTCATTGTCATCCATGTCGCTGTCTCCCTGGTCTCCACTCAGCTTCCTCTTGGTGGGGCTGATGGGAGGAGGACCAGTCCTGTGGCTGGAGATGGAGGAAGAGGATGAAGAGGAGGAGGACGAAGATAGGGACAGCGACTGGAATCTGGGGTCCCCCCTCAATGCTGCTTCACCTGTGAAAGGTAGACGGCAGAAGGAATTGTTCCACTTCCAACCATAATGAAATGATTATAACTGATGGAAATTATGGTGTTTTTAAGTAACAGATAACTGTTAAATTGTCCCTTTTAACACCTGACCACAAAAAACATTCCAAGAGAGTGTCTATCTGTCCAGAATGTGTTTTAGTTCAAATTTTGGATGTTGTTGACTTATGCAGTTTGCTGAGCAAGGCATAAACTCCTGGCATATGCAGAGGAGGATCTGGTCAGGAATGTTTTGGGAGAAATAGTTGTGGATGGATTTCACATGCATGTGTGTGGTGTGAATTATTCCTCTCTCTCTGCAGTCTTGGGCTGCTACAGAGGGCCCACAGACCTGTTAGTGAGGGGGAGTTCAAGCAAAAGAGAATCAGGAAAACTACCACTGGCTCCGGCTCAACACGGGGACTTTCCACTGCTCCGGCCGGCCTTGTGTATCTGTCGACTTTTCCCAAACAAAACATAAAAACTGCATCAACTCTCCCGCTCTGACTGCTGTCTTCCACAAAGCTACTCATGCTGAAACACACCATACACCTACTGGCTGCACCTAATGTCTGATTCTAAATCAATTTCAATTACTCTTGAGTAGCAAAAGTCCACAAAGTTAGGCACTGGTTTTATTTTGAAAGGCTATTTATTGTGCACCTGTGCTAGAGAATCAATAATAAATTGAAGTGTCAGGCAGCAGCTTTTTACTGTAACCATCTTTTAACTAAACTCTGCTTATTCTCATCAACTTTTTGAGACATAAGTCATAAAACTAGAGTTTAAAATAGTTTGAACTGATGGAAAATTCATCAGAAATTTACTCATGCAACAGAAGGCATGCACTGGAAAAGAGTAATGTAATAACATGTCTAATTGTTGCACAACTCCTCCATGTATTTTTGTTGTTTGCATGGCCTCAGAAAGACGGTAGCAGCTCCTCCTGTCTCTCTCCTCTTGCTAGCATGTTCCCGCTTGCCCTGCTCCGACCATGGCAACAAGGGTGACATCATTGTTTTTGGCAGGGCAGAGGGGTGGCAATAAAGAAAGAAGACTGTGACACCACACTGTCCAATCAGCATCCAGGACACACAACAGCTTATCAGTGAGTGAGGTGCTCAACAGAGGAAATCTGTGAGCGTTTCCCCTGCAAACAAGAAAGACATTTGACCTCAGGGAGTCAAATACTGCTGACAGGACTCCCAACTCAACAATGCCCACGAGCAACACTACACTTAGCTGTCAGGAAAGTTCAATGGTGTAAAAGGAAATCGTCCTTACAGGCATTTTTACACCCACTAGGTTATGGAGTTCACTTACTGGCAGTGAGAATAAAAACTCAGATGTGTCAGAAATAAAGAAAATGCCAGGAACACTAATTTAGTGCAAACTCTTAAAAGTGGGCAGGACTGATGTTCTTGTTTCTAAGGTTTCCAAATAAACTCTGACCTGAGCATTGGTGCTTCTCCGTGCCAGACCTTCAATAATAAAAGTCTTTGGTGGTGGTTCTGGGCAGTAAATATGTGCCAAGCTAACATTTGCACAGCAGCAGTTAAAATAAAAGCACAAGGGAAAAAGGCAGAGGAACACAATGACACAAGAACAATGCTACAAAAGAGCAAAAATAATTTGTGCAATTTTCAGCTATGTGCACTCAAATGATTGAACAAGTAGGAACAGAAGCAGAGAAAGTCCTCACACCAACTGTAGGAAAAAAGTAAAAAGAAGGAAATTAACAGCAGTTTGGTCGACGTTTGGAAAAGAACACTCTACAGTGCAACAGGTTGCATTATATATTTGTTCTACAAAGCCCTCCAATAGTATTTTTCTCCCAAAAACTAAAAGAGAAGGGAAGAAGAGGAGGAAAACTCCACTCTAGCTTGTCTCCACTCCAGCCCTTCAGTTCATTAGGTCTACATGATCAAAGCCTGTTTCTCTTGATAGAACTTCAAACAGCTCAGAATCAGGATGAGATTGGATTACAAACTGAGGTGGACCTTTCTCTCTTTCCTCTTCCGTCTCTTTTTCTCATGGATAAAGATTAGTCCTAGCAAGAATTCCCTTTTTGAAAAACAGCAAAGTAGTTATTTTTGGCATAATTCCCAGACATCTGTCCTGCCCGCTGGGTTGCCTTTATCACATCAGTCCATTAATGTTCTAAACTTAAATTATTCAAGGGAGACTTTAAAAGCTATTGGGTGATTGGGCTAAACTTTTAATGCCAGTGTGAGAAGTGTGTACTTTAAAGTGGTTTACAGCCATGTTTTTGTGTTGGTTTGTTTTGACCAGCACAAGGTCAGCATCGCCCTGTTCACCTTGATACCAGGCTTACAGGTGACAGTGAGACTAAAAAAACAAGTCTTGAAAGTTGTGTGAATCTGTAAAATATCAATGCCTGAAATTAGAAACCATTTAGTAAAAGATAAGTGACTAAAACACCTAAGTCTTAAAATACATGGATACACGTGAGCTAAACAGCATCCTCCTTGCTCGTGCAAATTATTGTAAACAATGGCAACAAAGCAATGGCTTCAGTAGAATCTCTGAGGAGTACCAGTATGAGCATGCATGTGTGTGTATTTGCCAGGAAATGTATTTGAGTAAGTGTGCTCATGCATACAATGACAAGTCAGGACACCCAAAGTACCACACTTCTCCAATCTTTACTTGGCTCAACATGTTTTGAACTAGAGGGGCTTTTTGTTGTTTCACTCTTTTTTTATTGCTGAGCTCCTTTCCAAGTTTTTTATCTCTTATCTTTGTTTTCTTATCAAGACACAAGTGATGAAGTCAGATTTTACTTCAGTCAGCTAAAAGCTCACAGAGAATAACTAGAAACTACATAGATTGACTTAACTGACTGAAAAAGTATTCTGGTAAGATTTTTTTTATGAATGTGCTTCACACCAAAGCAAAACAAAATAGATCCTGAAATAAAAATAGACAACTCATACTTCCATAGAAACAGACTAGATGAAACCTGAGAAACACCAGGCTTTGTGTAAACACAAAATCCTCGGTTTGACAGGTTCACTACACAAAACTGTAAGCTTTACAAACTGTCTCTAAAGTTTTATGGGACTGCAGTGTGTGCCAAAGCTACTAAGAACTCAGCAGGTCACATTTCTAAATGCAAGAATCTCACATGCAGTTTGTCAAACAGGAATTACAACATGCAAAAACATTTTCTGGCAGAGCTTTAAATTCAACCCTGATGACAAGAATCCTTTATCACAAGCCAACATGTATTTTATTTTTCTATTTGTCGTTTCAGAAAATAATTTCTGCATTCATTATGTGACTCTCTGCACAAATGGTTTTCAGTCACATGGAGTACTTTTACAGGATGACTATGATGGCGCTGCTAAATGAGGCTGAGTAACAATAGACATAAGTAGGTTAATGCACAACAAAGAGGAACAGTAACAGAAAAGCCTGAGCAGGTTATTATAAGAATGTTTTGGCTTTTGTGATGGGTCACAGTCATAGATAGACTACTACACACCGACTCACAAACTATTTACAAAACATATTTATTCAACTGACGGTTTGTTTACGGTTATTATTGCTCAAAAAAGAGATTCAAACAAGTGTTTTTTTTTATTTGAGAGCAAGAGACAAATCAGGAGCAGGAAAAAGAAATAGTTTATATATTTATTTGCAAATGTATGCATATTTATGCCCCATGCAAGCTATTTCTAACCATGCAAGCTAATTCTATCTCTTTCATCTTGGCCCAACAGCAGAAAGCAAGCGACTTTGCAGTTTCAACACAAAACCCAATGCTGCTAAATCTATTTTAGGATCAGCAACAATACCGTAAAAACCGCAAAAGTCGCTAATCAACAAGCAAGAAAGTCGGATTAAATTGAAATATTAAAAATTATCATAAAAAACATACAAGCAGAGGAGCCGACAAAGTACTAGTCACAACAAAAGAACACAAGCGTGACTCCATCCTCTGAACTTCGAGACTTTACCTACAAATACCATAAATTGGCCATAAAACACGAATAACCGAAATCGTATTCGATTAATCTGAACAGATACAAACAGCTAGCATAAATACTAACATTTAGCTGTTCCGCTAATTCCATTGCTACGTGGTTTCGTCAAAAGTTCGGCGTTAACAGTAATGCCCCTACGTCGAATTAAGCAGGGTTTTAACAATATTTGCGAAACAAAAACATTAATTGACAAAACAATATATCTGGAGAGGAAACTTAGACAAACTACGTGGCTAACGCAGTCTAATGGGCACTGAAAGTTTTAAAAACAACAGTAATAACGCACACATACAGTCGGTCTCTTTACCTTCGTAGCAGAGAATACCAATGTTGTTGTTCATTTTGTCCAAGTACTGGTAGTTCAACAGGTCCATCTTCGTTAGATGCATTAATCGAGCTTTCATTTAAAAAAGACCAGCTTTTCTATTCTTCTCTCGGCGACGGTAAAAAAAAGCCAAAGGCCCAGCCTCCAACTTTACTTTAAACACCGTTAACAAAGTAACTTCCGGGTAAAGTGGTTTCGTAGAAGTTTTAGCAGATTCGCGACACTTTAAACCCAAGTTAGGAGTAAATGTGAAGCGACAATAAACAGAATAAAAACAAGAAAAGTAGGGTCAGTTCTCCTCACAGCCAGCTGTAAGTCGACTGCACTGACACGCAGGCTATGCTTGGTATGACTCCTATGCTGCGCCAGTGGTTTCCACTGCTGCTGAGAAGAGCCTACTGCGCATGCGCGGGAAATCCCTGGAGCGCCTCAAATTTCAGGGATGTTTCACGCGCAAGATCAGCCTCACAAAAACGCACCGAGAGAAGAGAGACCCCCGCAAAGCTGCAGCAACATCCAAATCTAATCTTTACAGAAACTGTCATAAAACCGATCCTGTTCTCATCTGGCTGGTTTTGCAAACTGCAAAAACATTGCTGACCAACTCACAAGAAGTCCCTCAGCACTGAGGAGGTGATAGCGGAAAATGAAAGGTACAATAAAAGTATTTACAAACCATTAATACATATACCACAAAATCTTTTCACGGATCGCTAGAGGCCAGCTTTTTGATGACATTGAAAATAAATGCTGTAAGCAGGGGGTTGACAAGTCACAAACCTGTCTAAACAATACGTTTTTTTATTTGAATTTCTATGTATTTTGTATAATGTATTTAAGGAAGCAGTAAATGTCTTTCATCACCCAAACTACAGGACATCAGTGATTGTTTTCTAGTGAAGTAAACAGAAAATTTTATAATTAACTTGTGTACATTATGTGACTAAAGAGCAATGTTAGGGAAGAGAACATTAATATTTGTTTAAAATCTATTTTTAAAAACAAAAACACGTGTTGTGTGTATCAAAGTTCATTTAGAACCCCCTACATTTTAGATTGGCTCTCTTCTGCCCCCTGGCGCCCGAGAACGGGTTTACAACAACAACACTACTACTACTACTACTACTACTACTAATAATAATAATAATAATAATAATAATAATAATAATAATAATAATGAAGTTTAATGAAAACAGAGTAACAAAAGAAACATCAAAGGGATTTCCAGTATAATGTGTAAAGGCTGAAAATGAAATTTCTATTATTTGATTGGAAACAGTCTGTGTCCAACTTTGATTTCACTTATTATAAGTGAAAACACTAACATGTATTTTACATTTCCCTATCAGAAAAAACATAATTGTGAAATATCCTCACAAATCTAAGAGATGTCAACTTGTGTTCAAAGGTCAAATGTACTATAAATGTCCTAAATATTCTCTCTCTCTCTCCCTCTCCCCCCCCCCCCTCTCTCTCTCTCTCTCTCTCTCTCTCTTGCTCTCTCTCTCATATGAACATGTTGACAGACTAATTCCATCCAGCTAAACAAAAATGTGCCAGTCTAAAAACCTCCCCCTTTTCACTTCTATACGCACACAAAGCCCCCCGACCCCCCTGGCCTCTCTAATAGCGGCTCAAAGTTCAGGTCCTTGTCTAATTGGTGGACCATTGTTTCCAGCTTGATAAAGAGCTGAATCCTGCCGGAGTCTATTTAGTTCAACTGCTGCACCAAGAAGAATAAGACAAACTCGGCTTCCATCCTTCCATCCATCCATTTTCGGCCGCTTATCCGATTCCATTAACACATTCCGCTTTAACCCTTTATTTTGAAATAGCATCACCATAAAAAATTTCTGCATATATTGAACACTCAGTCACTGATGTGCTCACATTTAAAAGATAAATCTGACAAAGACAACAGAGCAACAAGCTAACTGCAGCTCCAGGACACCGATAAATCAGCGCCTCCGTTAGGAGCTTTCAACAGCAAAGAGTATATGGATATTTATGATCTTTTTGTGCATCTAGACAAATGAAAATATTTGCATGCTTCTTATTCATCCTAAAACATGAATAAAAAGAAAAAATGTCTAATTTTATGTGGCCATGGAAGAAGTAATGAACACATTATTTCTCAGTGAACTTAAAAGAAAATTTTCTTTGCTAAGTTAAACATTAGGCGTAAAAGACAGGTGGCAACAGAAGTATTTGGACAATCTGAACATAAATTTGCCAGGTCCCAGCTGACTATGACAGGAAATGCAGCCACCACAGCGTTTACGCTCTTGCAGTTGCTAAATTTATTTCCATCTGTTTTGCCGTTACTCAAAAAAGCCTGACAGAATAAAGCAAACATATGATAATGTGCCTTTGTTCTGTCTTGGCATGTTGTAAGATGAATAAGCATAAGAAGGATTAACGATTACACAAGTAGGTATTGACAATTTATGTTTTTCTTCCAACGCTGCTCGGCCTGCTTAACTTTTTCTCCCTACATACGACTTTAGTCTGAAATTTCAACACTTGAATAATGCAGATTTCCAGTGATCATTAACAAAGATTTAAGCCCCCGTCAGCCCCCGTTGCCTCTGGATGAGCCCCGTAGCTAAAACGCAGGATGAAAATGTATCCTCGTCTCTTTAACACGAGTGAAAACGTGACCTCTCTAAAGCCACGCTGGATGAACGAGTCTCCCACTGACAGAGATCAAAGGTCAAATGTTTGATGACTTTACAGCCCCTGTCGAAACACCACCACACCGGCCTTGTTTACACGATGACATAATGGATCGACGGCAAAAATGTGTCAACTCAGCTCATCACATCAGGCTTGTTACTAAACTGTTCCTTCCACAAACCTTTAATTACAAATGTACTTTCTAAACACATGAAAAACCTGTTAATCAGCTTCCTGTGCAAAACAGCAACACTGTGTTGACTAGATCCATATGTAAAAAACTAAAGTGTTTAAGCAAAAATTGTATTAAACTTTTAAAATAATAATAATAAGTCTAATAATATTTTTTCTAGAGTGTGTGGGTAAAAAAGATCCTTCCAGGCATACACAAAGGAGTAAGTGTTGTGTTGCTGCACAGAAACAACAGGTGACTCTGGATGCAGAGTCATTCACTTCCCACCTTTGTTTCTCCATGTGTGTCTGTCGCCAACAAAGATGTTTTTGTTTATTATTAAACTTGCCAGTAACCAGAGTCTTTAACTTTAACTGTGATGCCATCGAAGTTTGTTTCAGATTGTACTGGTATTTCAGAACCACAGCAAACACACAAGACGTCATCATTTTTATGTATAATACTTAGTTGATGTTACCTCTGAAGGAAAGAAAATACAAATTTTATATTAATTAAATGATGCCAACATTGAACAAGTCTTTGTTCAACAAAAATATTGTATTTTACTTACATTTTCTTCGCTGTTTCTGTTTATTCATTTATCATGCTTGACTTTCTTGAGACTCTCTCATGCTTTTAAAATAAATAATTGACTTAAAATAAAGGCGTTGAATGTTTTTTTTGTAAAAATATGATTTTTTTAAAGGTGAGGAACTCTGAAAATTTTTTTTAATGATTATTTCTAATTCAAATCGGTGACTGAGTTTTTCATGCAGGCTGAACATGAAAGTAATCTCCTACACCCATCTCCTGCATTAGCTTCTGATAGAAAATAAAAGGTGAAACGCTACGATTTGAAAAGCCTGACAGATCTATGTCACACTGTCACTTAACATTCATGGATTCACCCATCTTGACTCATGACGGGGAATGCTGTTGTTGGTTTAGCATCCAGGAAAAAGCAGAGAACGTCTCTGCTAGTAAGCTAACCATTAGCATTAGAAATTCTACCACACAGAAAAACTCCTCCACGCTGCTGTTATTTGTGAAGATAAAACATCAACATCCTTGAACCGTCACCTTATTGTGGTGGAGGAGCTTGAGTGCCCTAATGGTCCTAGGAGCCATATTGTCTGGGGCACTTTGGTAGGGTCTCCCATGACAAATTGGTCTTGGTGAAGGGTGAGACAAAGAACGGTTCGGAAGACTTTTCATGGAGGAAAAAACAAAGAGTCAGAGTAGCCAGCCTGGAGGGTTACCAGGGTCCCACCCTGGAGCCAGGCCTGGGGTTGGGGCCCATGGGCGAGCGCCAGTTGGTCGGGCCTAGTTTGAACCGCATACATGGGCTCATCCAACTGTGGACCCACCACCTACAGGAGGAACATGAAGGGTCCGGTTTGGCATTGTGGATTGGGTGGCAGTGTCACGGCGTGTGGCGAGGTGAGTGGAGGTGAGGCGAGGATCCACACGCGGGGAGGAAGACAGGCAGACAGGTGAGAACTTCTAACATTGATTTATTCAACACACGCTGGACAATGAAACAATGGACCGACACAAGACACAGAACAGAAGGGGCTTAAATACACGAGGGCAGGGAGCTAAGGTGATTGTGCAACGAGAGGCAGGTGGGAGAAATCAACGAGACACAAGGCTGAAACAAAACGGGGAGACAGGACAGGGTGTGACAGTACCATACCCCCCCCCCCCCCCCCCCCCCCAAAAGGGCGGATCCCAGACGCCCACAGGAACAAGGAGCAGGGCGGGAGGAGGGGGACCCGGAGGGATGGCCAAGAGGAACCAAGGGACCAGCAGAGTCCGGGGGCCTGCGCCTGGGGCAGAGGAGGAGGAGACGATGGGCTCTTGGAGGCCTGCGCCTGGGGCAAAGGAGGCGGCGACTATGAGCTCTTGGAGGCCTGCGCCTGCGGCAGAGGAGGAGGCGACGATGAGCTCTTGGGGGCCTGCGTCTGCGGCAGTGAAGGAGGCGACGACGAGCTCTTGGGGGCCTGCAGCAGTGGAGGAGGCGACGATGAGCTCTTGGGGGCCTGCGTCTGCGGCAGTGGAGGAGGCGACGACGAGCTCCTGGGGGCCTGCGTCTGCGGCAGTGGAGGAGGCGACGACGAGCTCTTGGGGGCCTGCGTCTGCGGCAGAGGAGCTCTGCAGGCTGGGCCGGGGACGTAGTCTCTGCAGGCTGGGCCGGGGACATAGTCTCTGCAGGCTGGGCCGGGGAAAAAGCCCCTTGGATGGGCTGGGCCGGAGACAAAGCCCCTAGGACGGGCTGGGACGGAGACAAAGCCCCTAGGACGGGCTGGGACGGAGACAAAGCCCCTTAGACGGGCTGGGACGGAGACAAAGCCCCTTGGACGGGCTGGGACGGTGACAAAGTCTCTGCGGGCTGGATTGGAGCCTCGTGGAAGGGTTGGACCGGATACGGTGCGACCTACAGAACCACCACTGGAACCAGAGACGGCGGAGACGTTGGACCAGAGAGAGCGTTGACCTCTGGAGTGGAAAGAGCGTCGACCTCTGGAGTGGAACGAGCGTCGACCTCTGGAGTGGAACGAGCGTCGACCTCTGGAGTGGAGCGAGCGTAGACCTCTGGAGTGGAGCGATCGTCGACTTCAGATGAGGCGTCGACTTCAGATGAGGCGTCGACCCTTGGACAGGAAGAGGCGTCGACCCTTGGACAGGAAGAGACGTCGACCCTTGGACAGGTAGAGGCGTCGACTTCAGAACACAAGGAGGCATCGACTTCAGAACAGGAAGAGGCGTCGACCACAGGACAGGACAGGGCGTTGACCACCATCGACTTCTGGTCCGGGGGGATCGGCTTCTGGTCCGGGGGCGTCGACTTCTGGTCCTTCGACTTCTGGACCGTCGACCTCTGGACCGCCGGCGTCTGGTCCGGGGGAGTCGGCTTCTGGTCCGGGGAAGTCGGCTTCTGGTCCGGGGGCGTCGGCTTCTGGTCCGGGGGCGTCGGCTTCTGGTCCGGGGGCGTCGGCTTCTGGTCCTTCGACTTCTGGACCATCGACCTCTGGACCGCCGGCCTCTGGACCGGAACTGGAACCGTCTGCTTCTGGTCCGGGGGTGTCGGCTTCTGATCCGGGGGAGTCGGCTTCTGGTCCGGGGGTGTCGACTTCTGGCCCTTCGACTTCTGGACCGTCGACTTTTGGACTGCCAACTTTTGGACTGGAACCGGAACCG